TTATTCCCCCCCCCCCCCATCTGGTTATAAATGTCTCTGAAGCAGGGACTGTCTTATTCAACTTTCAGTTGCAGTGCCTTGCTTATTATGGGTATTCACTATTTGTTGCAGTGAATAAAAAAGGTAGTGAAGTGAGGAGGCTTGCAGATGTTGAAGGATCTTAAGGGGAGGATTTCTGTATTCAAGTCATCTCGACGCCTCTCCTTTTCCCCTTAGGAATGTCAGCTCAGAGAGGAGTGAAGCTCGCCGGAAACTTCGGGAATGTGATGGTTTAGTGGATGCCCTCATTTTCATTGTTCAGGCTGAGATTGGGCAGAAGGATTCAGACAGCAAGGTAAGTTAATGGCTGAGTGAATTCCACTTACAACAACCATGAGGTACCTGAAATGCATGCAGACCTATTATCCCAGACTTTTAAATAACATTAGATATGTAAACCAGCCCCTACTCCCTAAAATGGGTATTCACCTTAGAAGAAAAATGTTTTCTTTAGAATTTTCTTCACCTCTATACCTTAAAGCTCTTTTGCCATACTTCCAAGGTTGTTCGTTTTACTAAGTAGGAAAAAGTAAAAGCTTAAGGAAAAAAACCCTAGGTTTTGTGTCATCTACCAAATGGTGGCAACCTTCCGGTAACCTGGGGCTACAAGGATTTTGAGAAGCTTGGGGCACTTTGAGGCACTGAGAGATGATGGATTGGACTGTGCTTTTTGGATCAGTATTATAATAGAATTATGGAAACCTGTACTTGCTGGGAAATCCCTATAGGCATTCTTTTCTCTCATTGAGCCTTTTCTCTTATGTTCCCAAGCTTGTGGAGAACTGTGTTTGCCTTCTTCGGAACTTGTCGTATCAAGTTCATCGAGAGATCCCGCAGGCAGAGCGTTACCAAGAGGCACCTCCCAGTGTTTCCAACAATACTGGGCCACATGCTGCCAGTTGCTTTGGGGCCAAGAAAGGCAAAGGTGAGTTTTAGTTCCTCTTTCTTGCTCTTTAATGTAGGACTGGGAAAGAAAGGAATACTTTTAGTTTTAGGTGCAAAATACTTGCCGAGCAGTATAGGAGTCTGCCTAGTCAAGTATGTCCTTTTGCTGTGTTGCTGCTTTCCTTGTGTTGTGCGCTTCATTCAAGGTTGTGGTGGTGGTGGTGGTGGCGGTGGCGGTGGTGGTGGTGGCGGTGGTGGTGGTATCAGTGATTGGGGCAGTGAAGGATGAGAACTCAACTAATCTGGGGCCTTCTCCCCATTCCTCCTTTGTGTTTCCTGTGTTTTTCTTTTCCTCTCTGCTTTTCTGCTTATTTGCTCATGATCCTGTTGACATCTTTCTCCTGCATTTTTCTTCCTTCATTTCTCTCCTCTGCTTTTCACCTTGGGTGACACACTGGAAGATGAGTGGTTCTCCAGAGGTGAGTGGAATCTTTAAAGGCGCTTATCTATTTCTAATTTGCATGTTTTGGTTTTAGCTTCCCTAGTATTTCCTTGCCTAACCCTTCCCTGTGGATGCATGTAGGAAAATTCAGTTGAGGAAGACCACTGAAACAACTTTAGCTCTTCTGAACTAATGGCCCATGGCATGCTATTTCTGGGCAGCAGTCCCAGTTACCAGAACTCAGGACAATAGCAACAACCATGGTTGTCCTTATCTTACCTCTCTGCACCTGTTTTCTGTCCTTGTTTCTGCACATCCCCCCGCTGGGACAAGCTGGGGGCCTGGATATTCCCCTCCCCCCACTCCTCAGTACATCTCTGATTCAAAGATTTTGATTAAAGAATAAAGAATGCTACAGGTTGACTCTTTCCTTTCTTACACTTTTTACCTCTCCCCCCTTTTTTAATTTCCAAAGGGAAAAAACCCACAGAAGATCCAGCAAACGACACAGTGGATTTCCCTAAAAGAACTAGTCCCGCTCGAGGTAAGTTATCTTTTTTTTTTTTTCATTCTCCAGGGGTCTCAAACATAGTCCACAGGTAAATATTTGGTATCCGAACACTAGACTATACATCACTGTTCTGTCTTCTCTGATCTGTGGACTTGAAGTGATGGTGAAAGTATTGGGAAACTATAGTGTTATAGTAGTAACTTGGAAAGCACTGCTTGTTATGGCAGCCATCCACATTACTGAGGGTAGGATAAGGTTCTGATGGAAGTCTAGACTTAGAAACTCGGGTACCCTAAGTAGCCACAGTAGTTCTTGGGACTTAAACTTTACCTCTTGATCATAGTTTGGATCTTTATATCCATCCACATAGTGAGTCCAAAATTCCCAACTCTCCATGGATATAAAAATTTTAGATGTTGTTAATCTGCGATAGGCCCTTTTACTTAGTCACAGTAAAGGTGGGCAGAATGACTTAGTTAAGTTAGAAATAATTCATTTGAGTTGAGGAATCATTAACCCTGAGTATACTGTCAATGAGCAAATGAATCCCCTGAGTACCCATGCCCTGACTGCCAAGCAAGGCCAAAGTAAACGGGGAGAGAAGAGGCAAGGAGGGAGGAGAGAAACGTTACATATGATGAGTTGATATCTGTTCTGCTCTTACCATGGACTAATTATTCTTAAGGAGGCATGGAATCAAATCCCTGAGTTTGCTGTTGGTGGGTGGAAGAGTGAGGGAGCCTAATGGTATAGGAGCATAAACCCATCAACCCGGAGTAAAGGCTGGACTTCAGCCAGCCACAGCCTGGTTCATAGGTACTGATAAGCACCCTCTGCTTTCTTATCCTTTCCTGCTTTCCTGTGTAGGCTATGAGCTTTTATTTCAGCCAGAGGTGGTTCGGATATACATCTCCCTCCTCAAGGAGAGCAAGACTCCTGCCATCCTAGAAGCCTCAGCTGGGGCTATCCAGAACTTGTGTGCTGGGCGCTGGACGGTGAGTACCTTTTAGAAAATGGGCTTGGAGGTGGGGGCACTTAGCTCACTATTTTGCATCCATTTGTAATCTGTTCCACCTTCATGTGCTACTTCTAGTATGGTCGATACATCCGCTCTGCTCTGCGTCAAGAGAAGGCTCTTTCTGCCATCGCTGACCTCCTGACCAATGAACATGAGCGGGTAGTAAAAGCCGCGTCTGGAGCTCTGAGAAATCTGGCCGTGGATGCTCGAAATAAAGAATTAATTGGTAAGGAGTAGGATGTTAACCATTACCTCAGCATCTAGTACAGTGCTGTAATCCAGCAGGTGCTAAATAATTTATTTATTGAGGTGACTGAGAGGGAGGATCCTAGCCCTCCATAGTTTGTGAATGCAAGGGTAGGAGAGGGTTATACAGTTGACCTTGAACAACATGGAGTGCTCACCCCCACACCGTCAGAGCCATATATATCTTTTGACTTTCAAAAAAAACTTAACTAGTAAATAGCCTATTTTTGACTGGAAGCCTTAGTGATAACATAAACAGTTGATTAACATGTTTTGTATGTTAACATGTATTATAAACTAAATTTTCACAATAAAGTAAGCTAGAAAAAAGAAAATGTTATGAAGAAAATCATAAGGGCCCGTCTGGTGTGGCTCAGCGATTGAGCATTGGCCTATGATCTAGGAGATTGAGGTTCAGTTTCTGGTCGGGGTACATAACTGGGTTGTGGGCTCAATCCCCAGCATGGGGAATGCATAAGGCAGCTGATCAATGACTCTCTCATCATCGATGTTTGTATCTCTCTCTCCCTCTCCCATCCTCTCTCTGAAGTCAATAAAAATATATTTAAAAAAAAAAAATCGTAAGAAAGAGAAAATACATTTATAGTATTCAAAAAAACCTGGGTGTAAGTGGATATGAGCAGTTCAAACCCCGTGTTGCTCAGGGTCAACTGTAGTTTAATAGTTCTCAGAAAGACAAGAATCCTTACCTGAGGATATGTTTATTGATTTTAGAGAGAGGAAGGATGAAAGAGAGTCATCAATTGTTTGCCTCCTGTATGCACTGCGAACAGGGATTGAACCTGCAACCTTTTTTTTTTTTTTTTTTTTAATATATCTTTATTGGTTTCAGAGAGAGGAAGGGAGAGAGAGAGAGAGAGAGAGAGAAACATAAACATCAATGATGAGAGAGTCATCATTGATCCGCTGCCTCCTGCACGCCCCTGACTGGGGATTGAGCCTGCAACCCGGGCATGTGCCCTGACCAGGAATTGAACTACAATCTCCTGGATCCTAGGTCAACGAAACTCAACCACTGAGCCACGCCCAGCCGGGCAAACCTGCAATCTTTTGATATGCAAGGTGATACTCCTACCAACAGCCACCCGGCCAGGGCGACAGCTATTATTTTTTAAGCACTTACTTTGTTAGTAGGCCTTGTTAAGCACTTTTGTATGTTCTCATTTAATTGTCACCACTTTAAAAAGGTTCATTTTTTTATAGAATAAGGAAACTCAAGGTAAGGTAAATTAAGCAATTTGCTCAGAGTTAATATACCTTGTAAGTGGCAGAGCCCAGATTTTTTAAATAATTTATAATGACTCCATTCTCTTGAACTATTATAATATTAAATATACTGTTTTCATTAGAATATCTAAAGGGACTGTGTAGCATTTTTGATATAAGTATTCACATTATTTCAATGTGACTGAAAAAGGAAAGAATAAATAAAGGAATAGTAAGGACAATAAATTCATGGTTATTCCAGATCCTTAGCTCTTTTGATATGATAATCCTATAGGAGAATGAAGTGGATTCATAGGGAGAGGACCTGTACTTTATATGGTCAGTGCAGTTAAGAATAGTGTTAGGCTCCTCATAAGGTGATTCAAATGTTGTCCCAATACGTGTTCCTTTGTCTCGCTGCTACAGGTAAACATGCTATTCCTAACTTGGTAAAGAATCTGCCAGGCGGGCAACAGAGCTCTTCCCAGAATTTCTCTGAGGACACTGTGGTCTCTATTTTGAACACCATCAACGAAGTTATTGCTGAGAACTTGGAGGCTGCCAAAAAGCTTCGAGAGACACAGGGTATTGAGAAGCTGGTGTTGATCAACAAATCAGGGTGAGCTTAACACTTAAAATTGCAAATGGAAGAATTTAAGTATAAAGGGGAGTTGCTAAGAAGGAGCTTTTCCTTTTTGTTTCTAAGGTTATTTTCCATTAATTACTTGTAAAATGTGAAGAGGTATTACTGTGTTCTGTCTTAATGGTGATTCATAAATTGATAACAGACTTTTTCATCAAACTTTTTTTTTAATATCTCTATTGATTTTAGATAAAGGAAGGGTGAGGGAGAGAGATAGAAACATCAGTGATGAAAGAGTCATTGATCGGCTGCCTCCTGCACTCCCTGTGCTGAGGATCAAGCCCACAACCCTGGCATGTGCCCCGCTCAGGAGTCGAACTGCGATCTCCTGGATCCTGGGTCGATGCTCAACCGCTGAGCCATGCCTGGCTAGGCTCCATCACACATTTTTGTGCATCACTTTTTGGGACAGAATACAGGAACTTGATCTTACCCATTTTGGCATTTATGTTCATACATTACATTATGTTAGAGAGAACAGGTTCTCAGCTTCTTCCCTGGTCTTACATCCAAATTCCATGTGATGTTGCTTTCCTCAAAAGGAACCGCTCAGAAAAAGAAGTTCGAGCAGCAGCACTTGTATTACAGACAATCTGGGGATATAAGGAACTGCGGAAGCCACTGGAAAAAGAAGGATGGAAGAAATCAGACTTTCAGGTAGGATAACTCTTGGGCCTGAGACATTTACCTTTTTTTCTTGGTCTCAGGTAATGCTTCTGTGTTTGGTTTCTTCTCTCTCACTATCACATTAAGTCTACTTTTGACCTGAGTCTCTGGTAGTAAAGAAATCATTTGGTTTACTCCTCCCCCCAAGTGAATGGTACTGACAGTTCATTTGCTGCCAAAACAGCTCTGGTCTTCCTCTGTGTCACAGCGTACTGTACATATTGGTGGCAGTGAAGGGTTCGGGGCCTTTTTGACTTTCCCCAAATCTCCAGCAGCCCTGTGATGGACTTTGCCATTTTCTGAGAGTAGGTCTTCTTCTGATAGTAGGAGTATTTAGTACCTTTATAATTTTCTGTTCAGGAACACAACTAGAAGCCATTATATCCTAGTTTGTTTCACTATGTAGGTATTTACTTAACCCTTATTTACTTTTTATAAGAGTTGTATTTGGGATCTAAAGATCTGTGCCCATTAGGGAATAAGATATGGGTACATTCAGTATCTTACATTGTTGCATTTTATGTTTGCCTCCAGGTGAATCTAAATAATGCTTCTCGAAGCCAGAGCAGTCATTCATATGATGATAGCACTCTTCCTCTCATTGACCGGAACCAGAAATCAGGTACAATATCCAGGGGGCACACCCTCAGCTTTTATTCCTCCTCTGCTATTTCATGGGCTTACTATCTAAGAAATAGGATATCTATTTATTTTTGAGTGAGTCAGCCTTTGGTAGAGGGTAATAATACTTCACTTCAGGATTGTAACACAGAAGCTGGTAGGCCGGAGATTAGAAAATAAAACAGGCAATTAGCCCTGTCTTTGCCAGTAGATTTAAAATGACTGGGAAGTGAACTCTCTAGTTTTTCTATTTTCTCTGAGATGTAATTGACATATGACATTATATAAATGTAAGGTGTGCAGCATGATTTGATATATGTATATATTGCAAAATGATTATTTTTTTCTCTTATATTTTCATATAATACCAAGTAATACATGTTTACTGTTGTAAAATTAGACAATATAGACAACCAGAAAAACAACAAAATCATTCATTTCTATTACCCATAGATACCCTCTACTTTTTTGGGTTATATCTTTCCAACACTTTTGTCATGTGAGCAAATACATTTCCCCCCAAAGGTAAATCATACATTTTGTTTTAAAAAAGTATTCTTTTTCACTTAAGTGTATATTGTAACCCTTATATTCTTTCTTTTTTTTTTTTTTTTTTTAATATATCTTTATTGATTTCAGAGAGAGGAAAGGGGAGGGAGAGAGAGAAACATCAATGATGAGAGAGTCATTGATTGGCTGCCTCCTGCACACCCTCGACTGAGGATTGAGCCCGCAACCCGGGCATGTGCCCTGACCGAAAATCGAACCCCGATTGCCTGGATCCTAGGTCGACGCTCAACTGCTGAGCCACGCCCGGCTGGGCAACCCTTATATTCTTAATGACACTTGGCTTTTGCCTCTATCAGAGTTCTTCAGATGTGGCTTGAGGATCCCCAAGTCTGTTGATGTTTGTGCTGATGGTGTAAAACCTGCAACGATGTTAACTGCTGGAGGCAGAACATGAACCAGGGCAATGGCACCAAACCAATCTAGTCATTGCACTCTTCACTGCCACACACTCACAGTTAAAAAAGAGCCAGTTTCATTTAAGGATGTGGTTGATTGAGCTGAGAAAATAATTAATTTTATTGTTTCTATCTTTGAGTGCACATCTTTTTAATATCCTGTGCTGATGAAATGGGAAGTACTCGTAAAGCACTCTGCTGCGTACCAAGCATGATGGTGTCTTGAGGAAAAGCACTTGTGTTACTAATTGGACTAACCACTCTTTGTGGAGCACCATTTTTACTTAAAAAATTGACTGACAGAGAATCTATGGTTATTCAGACTTAGGTATTTGGCAGACATTTTCTCAAAAATGAATGCAGTGAGTGTGTCACTTTGAGGGACAATAGTACTTGCCTGAATTTTCAAGTGACAATTATAATTTTGTAAAACTCATATTTGCCACTGGTAACACCATAATACTTAAAAGACTTTCTAATAAAACAATGTGATTTTTCGATATTGTATAATGAAACTTGTTAACAGAAGATCTGCATCACTCTTTGAACCAGTATTTTCCAAGTGATCGGTATATGANCCGAAAATCGAACCCCGATTGCCTGGATCCTAGGTCGACGCTCAACTGCTGAGCCACGCCCGGCTGGGCAACCCTTATATTCTTAATGACACTTGGCTTTTGCCTCTATCAGAGTTCTTCAGATGTGGCTTGAGGATCCCCAAGTCTGTTGATGTTTGTGCTGATGGTGTAAAACCTGCAACGATGTTAACTGCTGGAGGCAGAACATGAACCAGGGCAATGGCACCAAACCAATCTAGTCATTGCACTCTTCACTGCCACACACTCACAGTTAAAAAAGAGCCAGTTTCATTTAAGGATGTGGTTGATTGAGCTGAGAAAATAATTAATTTTATTGTTTCTATCTTTGAGTGCACATCTTTTTAATATCCTGTGCTGATGAAATGGGAAGTACTCGTAAAGCACTCTGCTGCGTACCAAGCATGATGGTGTCTTGAGGAAAAGCACTTGTGTTACTAATTGGACTAACCACTCTTTGTGGAGCACCATTTTTACTTAAAAAATTGACTGACAGAGAATCTATGGTTATTCAGACTTAGGTATTTGGCAGACATTTTCTCAAAAATGAATGCAGTGAGTGTGTCACTTTGAGGGACAATAGTACTTGCCTGAATTTTCAAGTGACAATTATAATTTTGTAAAACTCATATTTGCCACTGGTAACACCATAATACTTAAAAGACTTTCTAATAAAACAATGTGATTTTTCGATATTGTATAATGAAACTTGTTAACAGAAGATCTGCATCACTCTTTGAACCAGTATTTTCCAAGTGATCGGTATATGATGTTTTAAAGTAATGCATGGCCTGGCCGGGCGTCACTCAGCGGTTGAGCCTTGACCTAGGATCCAGGTGATCGGGGTTTGATTCCTGGTCAGGGCACATGCCTGGGTTGTGGACTCGATCCCCAGTCGGGGGTGTGCAGGAGGCAGCTGATCAATGACTCATCATTGATGTTTCTATCTCTCTCTCTCCCTCTCCTTTCCTCTCTCTGTAATCAATAAAGATATATTTTAAAAATAAAGTAATGCATGGATAATTGATCCATTCAAAGTGCAAGATGGATTTTGATTTAACAGATTACAAAGAGATCATTAGTTTGGAATCAGACACCACATTGCTGTTAACCTTAAGGAAACTCTACTTGTTGGTCATGAGTATACTATCGAAGAATATAAAAAATTATCTGAAAAGACCATTTTCCTCCCCTTTCCAAATACTTATCTGTGTGAGGCTGGATTTTCTTCATATACTTCAACCAAAATAACATCACAGTAGATGAATGCAGGAGCAGATAAGAGAATTAAGCCAAACTTTAAAGATATGTGCAAAAATGTAAAACAGTTCTTTAAAAAATTATGTTAACATGGAATAAGTTTAATGTTACTTTTAAGTGAAATAAATATTTAAAATTTCTCAATATAGTAGATATTAATACATATGACCACATCAGTGACAGTTCTTTGGATCCTCATAATTTTTGAGACTAAGAGATCCTGAGACCAAATAATTTGAAAATTGCCAACTTAGAGTGAATGGTTTCTTCTATTAGGATTCTGTTGTGAAGGGATCTCTTTAAGTCCCATGGGAGCTTTGTCTGGTACATAGTGGGTGCTCAGTAAAAATTTGAGAGGAAAGGAGGATAGAGGGCAATTTTTATGATGAGTATAGATTTCAAAGAGTTTGGCTTTTGAGTTGGATAACTTTCTGTCTTCCTATAGATAAGAAACCTGATCGGGAAGAAATTCAGATGAGCAGTATGGGATCAAACTCAAGATCCTTAGGTGGGTGATTAATTCCTGCCTAAGGATATGGAGTGATACTTCACTGGGATGAGGAGAACTGTCTGGCTCTATAGTGTTTTCTGACACCCTCACCACTTACCATTCTGGAAGAGCCTTGGCTGGACATTTCCATTTGGAAAGATGACTTGATCCATCTACTTCTACATTCCCACTTGCTCAAAGGTTTTAAAAAAAACCTGCATATGCGTTCCCTATTACTACAGAACCAGCTCTGTGTCCCTAAACTGTTATTCATGGCCCTTCATAGTCTCACGCTGGCTCCTTCTCTCCATGGGCTCTGTTTCAGCCCACCTGGCCTAATTTGCCATTCTTTCTTCACTCTATAGTTTTTTTATTTTGCTCATGTCATACCTCTTACAAATGTCCTTCCTGTTTGGTTTTATAAATTTTTCTCATCTTCAAAGACAACTGAAGTGTCCTGTCTCTGTTTTTAGGTCCTTATTAACCGTGGCAGCACAACTCACTCTCTGTTATTTCTTAATATGCAGATCTCTTCCCTTTAGCTTTATTAACATACAGGGTAGGGCTAAAGTAGGTTTACTGTTGTGAGTGTGCCAAACACAGTTTATTCTTGTATTATTTATTAATTATTGTATTTTTCATACAAACAGCTATAAACATACTTTTGCCCACCCTGTATGTCATACTCTGCATATTTCATATATATTGTCTTCCCAATTAGATTCAAGTTCTCTCTAAATCAGTAGCCACCAGAACTTAATGCCTTTCCGGAGCATTTGGCAAAGTTCAGTTCCTAATAGAGGTATCTGATTCACACTTAATCTGCTTAGTATATATTATACACTGGAGGGAAATATCATGTTTCTGTGTGCTTTTTTTCTTTAGATAACAATTATTCTGCAATGAATGAGAGAGGGGACCACAATAGAACACTGGATCGATCCGGGGATCTAGGTGAAATGGAGCCATTGAAGGGAACACCCCTGATGGTAAAATCTCTATGAACTGTTATCCTTCTATGGCTGATTCTCTTTTGAAGCCTGTGTGTTTGTGAAATAGGAAAAAGTACCTGTGAAGGATGGCATCCTCTCTGGTAGGCGCTTTTGGGAAAAGGAGGAGTTTTGACTCCTGTTGGAATTTCTTGGGCCATTATGCTACAGTGGTCGGTCAAGATGGGGGAAGGAAGACTATAAACATGTTACTGACATGACTAACGCCGACTGACCTATTCTTGTACATCACTCTCTTCCTGTCCTGGCTGTATTTTCTCAAAATCTTGCCCTTATTATTGTCCTGTTTGGTTTGAGTTTATAGATTAGGGCATTTTCCCTAGATCTGGCACATCCTCACAAAGTTCCTATTTCCTTACTCTCATACTAACAAATTGCATGTGTTCACAGCAGGACGAGAGACAGGAATCTCTGGAGGAAGAGTTGGATGTGTTGGTTTTGGATGAGGAGGGAGACCAAGTGTCTCCCCCCGCCATGGTATGTCCTCCAGCCACCCCCAAGATCATCGCTGAGGAAGGAGGCCCCTGTGTGCCAGCAGTTTGCTAATCATGCTGATCTGATCAGGCCAGAGACACTAGTCTCAGCCATGTGGTGCTTGGGGTGCTATTCTGTGATTACCTCGTAAGAGGCTGGGACCGGCCGCTGGTGATCTGATTCTCCACTATGTGCTACTTTCCTCCCTCCAGATTTGTTCAACTGTCTTCTGGTCCTTATTCCAACCTTATAACATCTCTTTCTCTTTTTTCCTTACAGCAGAAGATTTAGCACCACGATCTCCGCTACATCTGCACATATAATATATGTACTTTTATTTTTTGGTGGTGAAATGGACTGATGATTTTCCCCTTTCTTCGCTGGACTATTGTGCCAACTGCCAGGCTGCCTCCTGCCCTTATAGCCCTAAGTGGCTGCCTTCTTTCCATTGACTCCTAACTTCTTCCAATGAAGTTTAATTGTTCCTGCTCCCCACTCCAGATTCTCTCCAATTGCTCCCAAGAACCCTGACTCAGTTATATGCATATCTTGAGAAACTGCTGCAGATTAGCTCTTTCGCCAGCTCTCCCTGGAACTCTTGGCCTGTGTGGAGGGAGGGAGAGAGAATGGGAGTCTTCACAGTGGGAGTCTTCACTGGAAGCCATGGGAAGAATTGGAAACCACATGCTACATATACATTATACAGCAATCTGATAAACTGATGATTCTTAATCAAGATTTTTTTTCCTGGTGGGGAAGGGACTTTTTGTTTTTTGTTTTTTTTTTGAGACCGGGAAGTGTGAACTCTTCCCTTACTCCTAATGACTATTTTTGAAGCAAAGAAGGCCGGCAACATTGGCACATACCATCTGGCAAGGGCCCTTGAGTAAGTGAAGATCTCCTAGAACTGAGATTAAGAAACCTGGCTTTCCTTATCTCCAGGGCAGGGACCATCAAGGACTTACAGACTCCATCTCTTCTGCAAGCCTCGTGCCAATGCTGGGGTGCTGCTGCCACTCCCCCTTACTGAGGCCGTCCTAACCCTCCCCTCCCATCCTGTGATAATGTCTGCTAACTTGGCTTTGCCATTTTCAGGAGGCTGTAGAAAGAGGAGAATGTGTCCAGGAAGACTTTTTGGGTGAGAAGGAGCAGAAAGATGTCTTCTGGGGAGGAGAAAGAAGCTCTAGGAGGAGCTAGTAGGCATGTACATGAATCAGTCTGAAACTGGCAGGAAGCTTCAAAGCTGGACTCCCCCTGCCCTTTCTCCTTTCCCACCCTACAGCCCTGTCCTTCCTGCCTGCTCCCTGGATTGGTTGGCTGACTAAAGGACTTGATGTACATACTTCTGCCCCCTTTACCCTAAAAGGTGGGGGTCGCCCCTGGCTTTGCCTCTTCTTTGTGCCTTTGGCCTGGGGTGCATCTCTTCCTTCCCTTCCATGTGCCTTTCTTTGCCTCTGCAGTCTCATTTCTCATGATTTTGCAAATTATATTTTGTTGATTTTTTACCCACTATTGGCCCTAAATAGCAGAAAGAAGAGGAGAGGTGACCTAGAGACCCTCAGATTCTCCAGTGGGAATTGGTGTAGCCTCTAATTTCAGCCATAGCAAGCTTTTGCTCAACAGTGTATAGTTGGGATTTTGCAAAAATTCTGTTCTGATGTCTCAAAATGAGGTTGGTGGGAGGAGTGAGTGGTATGCCTCTTACTCCTTAGGTGCCCAGAGTGTACCGTCATCTCTGAAGGGGTTGCAGGGAAGCCATGCCTGCCCCCATACCCAGGTACCTCCTCCTCTCACTTAATGTGTATTAGCTGGTTGGGCTTGAGGGATCAGCTGCTATGCTGTTGTTTTTAAACCCTTCCCCATACTTCCCTCTGACTCCCCTTAATCTAAAGCTCTGTTCAGTGCGAACTGGAAATCTTCACCTTTCTCTCCCCTCCCCTGTACCTGGAGGCCATGGGGTGAGAGAAAAGTGCAGGGCCCACTGGCCTTTCCCCTCCCCCCATGCATTGAAATCCCTTACTTACCCTTTCCGCCTTTCCATTTCTTCCTGCTCCTTTTCTGGCAAAAAGGAGCCTTTTCCTCTCCGACCCTAAGAGCATAACGCACAGGGGAAACTTCCGCCGTCCAGACCTGGCCCACTCTGGGTTTCTCTTGTCCTCTGCTCTTTTGCTGGTGCTCTTTTTCTTGGTGGGGTGTGGGTACTAGAACAGCCATGGGCTTTTGGGGACCTTTAACTGCCTTTTTTTTCTCGTTAATAGAAACACTAAACATTCAATTCCAGAGAACCAAAAATCGCACCTTCCCACCGAACACTACTAAGGGGCATGTCTTCTGCTCCATACCTTTTCTGTTTTTCTCTCTCTTGTTAAGCTTTTAAAAACAAATGAGTTTTTTATATAAATAAAGTTTTTAAAGTGTGTATGTGGGGGTCCTGTGTCATTTCTTCAAACTATATCTCTTCCTTCCTTTCCATCTTGGTTGCTATTTTATGTATTGGTGTTATTTTTCTCTCCAGAGCACCAAGAGGGAGTTGTACCAGGATAGGTTTATTTTGAGCTCAATCTCAACTTTATCAAGCAACATTCTTTTTAACTGTATATGAAACATTTTTCCTCTGAAGATTCTTAAAAATTAAATGTGACTAAGTCAAGCCCAAGAAGCTTATTGCTAACTTAGAGATAGGAACGTGAATATAAAGAATTAATGACTTCCTTACTCACTGGGATTCTTTTGCAACATTGGCAAAATGAACATTGGCAAAACAAACGTTGAATAAAGCCCATTGCAATACAAGGCCCTCTCGAATGTAGCATTATGGGTAGAAGATGGGAGCTACCACTCCAGTGCCCTCCTAATGATGAAAATGTAGAATTAAAAAGCTCATGTGTAGAAATATTAAAAATGGCCATACTGTTGCTTCTCCAGCTATCTGCAACCCTTTAGTAGGAAGATAAGGGACAGGCCTGTGTGGCTTCCTTTGTGTTCTACCAAATATGTGGGTGGGTAGCAAATACTTGTTGGATTACCAGGGGTTGTCTTTACTGTAGAGATCAAGGATTAAGACCTATGGAGAGAGACTTATTTTTCTGGTGCCCATATTTTCTGTTCTATAATAAAGAGCCTCGAGAATTTATCTAAAATGTTTCTATATGCCCAGTCTTTAGATTAAATATATATATAGCTGCTGCTGCTGCTGATGTCTCAATTTTGTGGAATAGGTCTTGGGTATGAAAACTTGCTGAGGCTAGTGAGACCAGGAAATGTAATCATTTTAACTGATACTATTTCAAGTTTGATACTTTAGTTTTAGGTTAGAAGGATGGAGCACAGAGCCAGATCTATAGAGTTCACTTTCCAAAGTGGTTTGGTAGCTCTACCTAAGACAGTTTTTTTAAAACCTGTATCAATACCTACCTCTGGTGAATGGAATAGACTTTATTGTATTCTTTATTATCCACTGGCATTGAGCTGTGTACAAACCTTACTCTCCCCTCTCCCTGGGTTGGTTCATTTGTTTTATCATTCATTCAACAAATATTTATTGAGCATCTTCTATATGCTAGGCATTGTGGATGTTAGATTTTAGAGAATGAAACAGAGTCCTCACATATATTGCAGTCCTATGTAGCTAAGACCTGTGATATTTTAAAAGCATTGCTCTGCCCTTACTTAAGGTGTTAAACAGAATGATAAGTTTCTTGACAATAATTTAGTAATGCTTTTGAAACCATTTGTTAACTCTTAACACCAATTCTAGGAATTGACCCTATGGATTTTGTAAAGAAACTTCAGGAACTTTGCCCATGTACACCCTGATCCTTAGAGCCTGAGTTGTTTTTCTGGAAGAGGTTACAGATTACCCTCAACCAGTCTTCTCCCTCAGTGAGGGTTTTTTTGTGAACATGTTTGTGAAATAGCTAGCTGTAATGAGTTTTGCTGTGAAATACTTTCTAACAGCTCAAAGCTGTGACCTCGCTTGTCCACTTGTTCTTTCTTGGCTGAACTAACGCACTTTGTTATGAACTGGAAACATTTCACGGGAGAACAAGGACCAGTCTCTCTCATTTTGTTATTTTTCACTTTGTCTTTATATCTGAAGTATAGGATAACAAAGGTGCATCTTGGTATTGGCATAAAGACCAACTAGATACAGCCTCAGAGATCTGAGAAGTACACAAGAGTTACCAGATTTCCTGTGTTCCATTTCCAAAAATTTACCCAATGGATGGGACTCAAGATTCTGAAATCTTGATAGGTCACCTAGTTTATTCTAATGCCTGTGGTCAATTGCAACTTGAGACTCTGATCGACTGACTTGCTTGAGATTCCTGCCTCTAACTGGAATCCTGGATGACTGGCTCCAACTCCACTGGCAGCAGTACTACTTTCATGGTGGATGTGGTGGTAACCGAGGGAGACTTCTAGAAGGAAGACCCAAAGGAATGAATTGGTTACTGTAGGATTTGAGATAATAGTGATAGGCTGATGTGTATCTTGTGGGTTGGAGAAACAACTTGCAAACCATTGCCATGTAGGTAATGCCCAGGCTGCTAAGAGGTCAAACTAGTTCTTGATATGGGGTGCTCCGTGGCATAGGCTCCCTGGCATAGAGATTCCCCTGGAGTTGCTGACTTTGTCTAACGTGTCACTTCTGGCTACAAAGGGTACCTTAACTAGAGAGCAAGTGGTCAAAGAGGTGTTTTGGAATCTTAAAAGTCACTTCTGAGAACACCTATCTCAAGAAAGAAAGCATAAAAAAGGAAGGTGTTGCAGGAGCTAATTCCTTTTTCATATACTTAACGACCTCTTGACTTTCCTGCTGCCTGTCTCTCTGAAAATATTAGTTTGGCAGATCCATGCAGAATTTAGGGGCAGACATGGGTGGAGAGGAAGGCTGGAGGAAGTGATGTAGGGAAGGCATCGGTGAAGGTAATTATTTTAGTCTGTCCACATTATTGTATTGTCGACATAAGAACATCCAAACCTGAGAAAATTTTTATAAAAATTTATTTGAACCAAACAGGATACACGTGGAAGCAAGATAATAGACTGAGAAAAATGCTTCCTAGAGTGACAGTTTGCAGTTTCTTTTGTGCATTTGGAATTAAGAAGGGAACCTAAGGAAGAATAAATGAAGGTAGGAGAAAGCAAAGTGGGGGATTCAGTCATGTGCTCCCTTGAGGGTGGTTGTACCTCCCGAGAGTCTGAAAAAGGATTCCTCTGGCATTTCAAAGGTGTGTTAACCCAGATACACAAGAACAATGGACAGGGCTTGCCTAAGGCAAAGAGAAACCTAAAATTATAGGCCTGGGGCATGACTACCTACCATGACCTCCCCAGTTAAGAAATCACCATCAGATTGTGAGGTTGCTTTCTATAGAATCCCTTTCTCGTCCACAACATCCTGACTTAACGTGTTTCTCCTTTTACGTTGTATGAAGTGACCAGGGCCAGCTATCCACAAATGGATTAAGTCAAGAACTTTATACCTGTTTGTAGTAGGAGCCATAAGTATTGTAAGTACGTGGCAAGTAGCTTTTTTGGTTTCTAGCTGAGGAGAAAGTGCTATACTCCTTTCATATACGAGTCTGTTGGTGAAAAGGGCAGGTTCTTCTACTTTTTTGAGGGTACCGAAGGGGTTACTATCTTGCTGCCTTTCTGCTGTTATCTCTAGGGTTAATGGACAAATAGTCTGAATGCCAGAAGACATTTGTGCCTGAGGAAAAAAAATAGAATATCCATGGTAATAATGTGCCAGGCATGCACTCTACTCTTGTCTTCACTCCAGTCCTCTCTTCACCTTTAAGGCAAAGTTAGCACTGATCTTTTGCAAACTTTGGACTCTAGGCCTTTTTACAACCCACTCTATTAGAATCAAGAGTGTGAGCAGTGTAGTATGCATAGTTGGAGCTCATTCAGGCTTCTGTTTTTGGCATTGTTGTAGAATGTCTTTTCAGCAGAAACAAGATGCTGGGTAAAATATATTTATAAAGAAACCTATGACCACATTGCTGAGTAAATATAAAAGAAAGGAATCCACAGATCTTCAAAATGAAGTGAAAACTGGACTCCTAGGAAGTAAGCAACGGCTAAAGCTAGCTTTTGCTAGTTTTTTGCCAAACTCAGCAGACTTTAAGCATCTACTTTAGTGACTACACGGAATGGGAACAGGAAATGAGGAATCTAGCAGGTGGTGACTCCAGGTAAAACTGGTATACCCTCAGTGTTGAGATGAACAAGAAATAAACTCTATAGAAGAGGGCAGCAAGGAACATACTTGTCTCAACCTTGGTGCTAGATGGAAGGAGTAATACAGTATCCTCTGAGGATTCATAACCACAAAATGGGCCCTCTGGGTTTTCAGTCCAAATGTATGCTGCCTGTGTGGTCCAAAATATCTTGCCTGGGAATTTAACGTGGTACTCTGTCTGTCATGCTGCCAGGTGATTTTAGAAGCAAATGCAACCCCTCTAAGGCCTCAAAACAATTCCCATAGATTAACTCCCAAGGCACGTGAGCAGCCCTGCTCAAAAATTATACAATGCACAAAGAAAGAAGGCATCATGAGGGGAAAAGGGGGCAGAGAGATAAGCTGATCCTTAGATATTTCAGATGTTGGCATTGTGACACAAACTATGAAGTAATACTTTGGTTGATGAACTGTAAGTTTGAAAATAAGATGTCAACCCCCCCCCCCC